AAGTTAATCACATGTATGCAGACAACGATACAGGGTTTCAGTATCAGAGCTATTCAGAAAGTCATTCTGTAACCAATACTTGGTCAACACACAGGGCAACATATAATATCACTGAGGAACATCACAAGTTCAGTCTATTTTCGAATTTTTTTACATCATAATAATTTCAAAAACCGTAATTGTTTAAACAAGTCATTTCAATGCAACTACTGTTCTGTGATTTTCTTCCAGAAAGCGATATAATTTATCTAGTCATAAAAATCATCTACAAAAAATACTTCATAAATTTATGTGTTAGCAAAGCTAAAAATAGGTTATTCGTTATAAATGTCATCCGCAATAATACACAACAGAAATGTAACAATTCTAATTAATAAAATTAACAATTATTTTATTAAATTTTAAATTTGAAAATAAGAAACTTTCCGTATAATGAAAATAATTTATAAAATAATTTATATGAGAACACAGAAAAAAAATCTTAAAAATTTTTGTGGAAAATAAAAGTAATATTCAAAGTAATACTGAAAATATGTAAATCAAATTTATTATTTAAGTATTAGTTATGCTTTTTTTTTAAAAACTAAGTAATTATAATATTTATAATTTAGTCCATAATTATTTCTGAAGTTTAGGAGATCATACTGGTTGGTTGAATTTGTTGACTGGTTGTATTGCACATTTCTTTCATATAACAGATTTTTACAGTTACAAAGCAGTTTACAATTTTATGAACTGTTTTTATTAATTTTGAATTGTTAAGCCGACACTATTTTTCAAAATTTGATTAATTGTCATAAAATTATTCTTTGGTAAATTTATTATCAAAAATTTGCATCTAAATTATATAATTGATATATGCTACCTATCATGTAAAACACAATTGACAAATTTTAAAACAGTGAAAAATTCCCCTAATTATAAGTATTTTATAAACTTTTTTGTTAAAAAAATAAACTGAATTTTATTTTATTTTCAGTAATTTTGAATTTCCGATTAATATCATCAATTGGTTGAAGCTCAAAAATCATTGATGACTCTTACAACAACAAGTCAAAGTGTACCGATCGGGTATGAGCGTAAAATTCGACACCTTCAATCATCACTTCATGATAATATGGTAAAATGATATAACTGAATTTGAATATCAAAGCTTGTATTTATACTTAATGATTTCAGACTATGCAAAACTGAAATATTTTGCAGCAAAATATATCAAATGGCGAATCTAGCATTGTAAATACAGCAAAGCGAAATTTCTCAGAAGTAAACTCTTTCTAGCACTTTGAAATATTCAGTAAATTATGGTTTTAACACCACGTCAATTCAAGCAGAAAGTTTATCGCAAAGTGACGACAATCCAAAACGAACACGTAGAAGGCTTCAAGCGTTATTTCAATCTTTTTGCTGAACTTATCACTGAAAATAATATAATTCCGATGCATTTGGTTTGTGTAAAGCATTTTGGTACCTCACTTTTTCATAATACTGCACTAAAGAAGAGTTGTGTTTATTATAAATAAATATGCAAGAATCCGAAAAAAATAATTACCTTAAAATTGTTTCTTCAAATTGATGTAAATTCATAGTAAGTTTAATTTATGGCAAAGTTTTAGTTCAGTTTTTTAATTATTTTAATTCAGCTTTTTTAAATTATTACAAAAAGTACAGTTTTTAATTTTTTTTATAATAACGTGAAATGAATATTTGCTTCTTTTTTCTTCTACTTAAGTCTCGACCATTGGATATTTTGACCAACTGTGAAGAAACTTTCCAAAAAGGAGAAGCATTTAATCGTTGGCTGAGTACTGAGAATGAAAATGCAAAAAATATTAAACTACCACCCGGTTTAGAACAAGTAAGCGTTTGAAAACATAACCAATATGGAATTATTGAATTTAAAAATTCTAGAAATTAGAAATTTTATATTTTTAGATGAGTTGGTGGCCTGATATTATTTGTAAAACATATCCATACATCAATCTTCCAAGCGTAAACACTCAATTCAATTATACTGTTCGAGCAGCTTGTTCGATGTGCTCCAAGCAAAAACTGAACAAAATTAATCCCAAAATAATACCATAATTTAAAACTATGTTTTTACTGCGCAAAATTATACTCTTTGCTAAACATTATAATGGATAAACAGCAAGATTTTTCTTCATCAATTATCATAAGCATTGGATCAATCAAACGGAATTTTGTTCAAAGAAAATATTATATAATGGCTGACTGAACAATAACTATTTACACATCCAAACTTTTACGAAATTTGAAATGAAAAATTTTTTCAAGTTTATTTATTTATTTTTGTTAACAAGGTTGCTAATATTTTGTCTACTTGTCAAATTGAGATTTGTTTGTTCAATTGATTGCTTTCAATACTTTTACTATCAGATCAAATTATTTACAGTAGCTAAAAGATATGTTTGATTTCATCGGATTCCACAATCAAATTTTTATAATGATTACTGATGAACAATTTTTATTAATTACTCGTATTTGCTATAGAAATTGTCTTTTTTAAAGTGATCTGCGATATATTTGAAAGTGATCTGCAATATATATATATATAAGAATATAGGTAATATAATTGAACTGTATGAAAGTTGCTAGAAAATTAGCATTATATTAAAAGAACAGAATTTGTTATAATAATGAAGTATTAATTACTAAATTTCCACTGCAATATTTACTCAAAAGAGCATAACAATATATTTACTGCACTAAATTTACATAATTGATACAGAAGAGAAGAAATTTAATACAAATGTATTGCAATATCTTAAAATTTTAGTAAAAATCTGTATAGTTTTTTAATATTTCAAAACGATTTTATCGTCTTATCAAAATATGAGTTCAAATCATTATGGAACTTTAAATGAGTAAAAATCATCTTCAGTATATATTATTGTGCCGCTTTTAAGTAAACATTGAAATGACCCCTTATCAAATATTCTCGATATAACTGAGTAGATCACAATTTGTAAGGAAGCACTAACGTTAATTCGGGAATGCAGACTTCAAGTAAATGTCGTTTGGACAGGTGAATAACTTGACTTCCTTTTAGATCTAGTTCTTAACTTTTATAAAATAGTAATGCTATTCTATTAAAAACAAATAACTTTCTACTTTTTTGTAAATTAATAGTTATAATATTAACTAACGATTTATTTCATTACCACTAATAATTAATAATTGCAGTTTAGTTTTTTATTTAGGTTATTCGTATATAAAATAGATCAAAAATTTGATACATCATTGATAGAATTCTAAAGTTATCTAAACAATATCACAAAATCATAATTTACTTTGATGACTTATATGCTTGTACAGTATTGAAACAACAGTTTCTGAATGATTTTTGTTTTTGTAAAGTATAACTTGCAATTTGATAATAAAACAAATTTATTCAAAAAAAAGATCAACACAATAGGCTAATTCACAAAAAACATATTGCAATATCAGTTTATTTAAAAGCTGCATAAAATTGCAGCGATCAAATTATTTTATCATTAAAAATACTGTGGAGAAAAATTTTGCTGTAATATTTGAAAATGGCTATAAAGTAAAATTAATCTCATTCATGATAACAAAGATAAAGTGCTGCTTTGAAATATATGAAAAATTTTTCAGCTATTTTTGAAATTTACTCCAATTAAAAAAAAATAATTCAGTACTAATTTAAAATAGAAATTAATAAAATCTTCTAATTTATTAGCATAAACAATTTGCAGTTAATTAAGCTTTGAAACAAAGAAATAATTTTTTATGAATAATTACAATTAAGAATGAATGTTTAGAAGCTAGCGTTAAGAATTATGGCTTAGATATAAAATTAACGTATTTCTTTATCAAAATCATTTTTCATCGAAAGAAAGCTTATAGTTTTTTGTCTGGGATTAAGAATTGTACAATAACGATGCAGAAATGGAATTCCTAATGTTAACTTGTTATCAGCATTCCCAGGTTTGCTGTTAAAACCCAGCAAGCATTGTCGACTATATAACTAAAAAATATTAAATCTTTATTGTTTGAAATGAAATATTAATACAAAATAATTTTAATAGCGCCGAAAAAAATCACTACTAATTATAATTTAAAAAAATTGGAATAAAACTAACTCTATCCAAAACAAAGTATCTTGACTCAAGAAGAAATGTATTGCTTTTGGTAATAATTTTAAATGGCGAATATGTTTTGAAACAATCAACAGTGTATACATTAGTCAAACTTTCTTTCTGAAAATTTCATTTATTTTTTCCAATCAGCAAATTCAAAATTATATTTAGCAATTCAAAATTATATTTAGCAATTTACGAAAGAATAATTGTTTCAAATTTATTTAAAGTAAATTAATTAAATTGACCTCAGCATTAGTAGCATTGATAATTGCTTCCATGAATTGCTGTGGAACCATAATGAAGGGTTCAGCAGAATCTGGATATGCTAATAGTTTTCTTTTAGGTTTTGAAAATTTTGCTCTACCCCATGACATTGAAGAGAACTCAAATTCATAACGTCTGCCATTGAGTAAAAAAAGTCCCTCACTTTTAACAATGTCTGATTGACATAATTCACTATCAATTCCACCAAGTGTAAGCGTAGCGCTTACTCGATGATGCTAAGAAAAAGTTAAGATTCCTGAACTGACTTCATTTATTTTTTAAAAATTTTTGATATGAAAAATTAACATAAATGAAAGGAAATAACACTAATAGCTTATTAAATGATTGAAAATAGAATTTATGAAATAAGTTTTTCAAAAATTAAAATTGCAAATTTTACAAATGCATTTTCTGCATTTATTTTTGCAAGCAAATTCTATTTAATAAAAAAATGATAATGTAATAATAAAAAGTCATATGTCTAATTAGCTTACCAAAGGTGGTAAAGCTATAGCAATAATAGGTTCTATCGAGCCAGTTCGAATTGCTTGTTTGATTGGATTTTCTGTTAGCATATCGCCAAGTAATGTTGATGAAATGCCAAGAACTCCGTCGATTCCCACGTATTTTTTCCCTTCTACCCACTTACCAAACTTTGACAGCATGCCAAACGATGCATTCATAAGCTTTAATCTTCCTCCAATAAGGCGATATATCTATTTTGAACAAATCTGTTAATAACATTGAAAATACTCCACATATATTTTATTCAAGAAGGATTGATACTCCATGTAAATCTTTTTCCAAAGTAATAAATAAGACTTACCTGTACAATATCTCGGCTTCTACTTATAGCTAGAAATTTGTTTGGTACTTCAGAATCATAGCCCCCTAAATCACTAGTCTCTTCATATGTTGACGATTTTGATTTTGAGAATCTCCTCTTCCCTTTACAGAATAAAAATCTAAAAATTTGAAAAAATTTTAAACCAAAAATTATTGCATTTTAAAATTTAATAATATTTGGAAACCTAATAGCGATTAACAAATTTTTTTTCAGTGAAAAGGATTTTTTCAAAAAAAGTAAAAGTTGTAAAATAAATTTAAAAAACCAACAAACCGACAATTTTCATCAGCAACCCAAAATAATGGTGAAGCTGTTTGAAGCAATACACTGAAATTTTTTTCTGGAGTACCTATTCCAACTTCGAGAGAGTATCCTACATGTTGCTGAAAAGTTGTAAAATTTATCAATAGAAAAAAGTAAAACTATTTTTGTATCAAGGTAAATGTCACTTACCTTGAGCTCAGTGTATACTTCGTTCAGTTTTATTCGATATTCAGAATGTGTCAATTTTACATATGTAAGAATCATCAATAATAAATATATATACGTCATTATATCTGAAAAAATTAAATTCAAATAAATTATATTTCAAACTGAAACCAAAAATTTTCAATACTTTCATTTCAAATTATGTCAAAATTTTAATTTCATCGTTATAAACGCTGACAACAATTTATAAAATCTTTGATAGTAGCAATAGACAGAAATTTAAATTAAGCATTCATTTTCATCCATTTTGCTTTTCAAATATTTTTGAAAGTATTAAATTTTACTGACGAAAGCAATGCCTTAAGAACGATCTCTTAGCCATTAAATAATCTTTTCTTCAATAATAAATTAACAATAAATTTTCAACTTATTTATGTGAATTCATTTTTTTTATAATAAAAATAATTTTATTTCGTAGTATTTTTTTATTATTTTGGGAATTTATTAACTATGCATAGACAAATTTTTTGCAATAAATAAATTTCGTCGAGTCATTTTTTGAGTAAAAAATAATAGTGCTGAGGTACTTTGCCTTTTGTATATGTTATCGTTCAATATTTTGATTTCTTTTTTTCAAATTTGTTTTGAAAAATTGAATAAAAGTATTATTCTCACAGCTTATATAATAAACAACAAGTGTAAATCACAAAACATTCACGTAATACTTATTTTTTCATCAATATTTTTTAATGTTAGAATTTGCATTAAGTAATTATAAAAATTAAAATTCACAGCTGCTAGAGTTGTAACCCATTAATTATTAATGATGCGATCAAATAAATTATGTTCTTCATTTATCAATTGGTTATATATATATATATATATTTTAAGTAATTTTCATATACCAGGTTGATCCACAACTGTTAAACTGTTAAAGGAGGATAAATATATATATACATATTACTAAAAAAAATGAAAAGTTAATTCTTCTCATTTTTAATACAAAAAGCTTTATTTGATAATGACATTTTTTATTTTGCACTTAAAATTTGAATTCTCGTTTCATGAATTAAAGCAGAATTTTAATCTTTTTTGGCAAAAAAAGCTAATGACATTTTTGCAGTATTATTTTATGCATTTTTAAATTTTGTTTTTGAAAAATAATAAAAGTAATTTTGATTATTTTTTCTAAAAATAATTTTTCTGAAAAATAGATGTTTTGTGTATCTTTTATTCCCCAGACTAATTTACAATTTTTCTCCTTTATTCTTTGCAATTTTTTTGTCTATAAAAAATTCGAATAGCCTTTGCTCTTATTTGCATATTCTCAAGAAATTTTAAATTCTGCATATTTTGGTCGAAGTAAGATTATCTAAAGTTTTTAATTAAGATAAAGGAGTGCAATAAATTTAATAATATAACTATTTCAGCAATTTTTTAATATTATTAATGAAATATAAGGCACACTTATTTGTCATATTTATTTTTAGCAGGGCTTAATTAGCATTGTATTTGAATTTCACTATCATTATAATAATATCATTAAACCTGAAAATTACTTAAAAAGCATCAAAATCGTATCAGTATTTTTTCAAAGGAATCTTATCGAGTTCTTCAAATTATTCATCCAGCAGATGAAAAAGCAATAACCTTAAAAAGTAGTCAATTATTATTCTCTACGTTTTGCTGCTTTAAACAGTTATGCATTAACTTTGTCAAAATCTAATCATAAATGCTTCTGTTTTTGAGGATTCTGCAATAAAGTAATCATTTGAAGGAAGAGAATTCTTGGAAACAAAGAACTATTATTCATTCAAAATAATAATTTTTGAATTATGTAAAAAATTTTTATACCATTTAAATAATATATATCATATAATTTTACAATAAAAAAAGAGATCACATGATAATTTGTTCAGTACAGAGAATTATGTAGAAAATACGAAACTATTTATACAATTTTTATTTTTCATTAAATTTCTATTATATTTATATTTTATGTTGGTTGCATCCTTTGAGTCGTTCAAAGTAATAAGTCATTTCATGCATATTATTAATGTCATCATTAAAAAATACTTTGAATGCTTAATTATTTTTATAACTTAATAATCCAATGGCTAATTCAGTAAAATATTTTATATCATTTATGAAGAAATTATTAAGCAATAAATTTTTTTGAATTTTATCTCATTTTTTAACGCTTAACAAATTCATTTCACTATCCTTGTTAATATATACTATAGTTTAATCATTTTAATGCATCGAATCAGAAGAAAATCTGAATACTCATCTACTATATTGCAAAAAAAAAAAAATCCTATGATTAGTGCGTAGACACATCCGAGTATTTTTTTATGTGAATTTAGTACTACTCAGACAAATTTTCATCGCTTCTGTTATTATATTTTTAATTCTTAATTACGATTTCGAATTTATAGTTACTTGTTTAATACGGATTTTCCTTTTTATTCCATTTGATTTCATATGTATTGATATATTCAGTTCACAAGTCGGCTGTGATGAAAATGAAACAAGCACAATAAGTAACTGTAATAGAAAATGGAATTGAATAAATTAAATTGTTATTTTTTGAAGAGTTTTTATGGTTTAAAGCAATTTAGCGAGTAAAGTAATAGAAAATTTTTCACTTCCTTACTCTGGGAAGTTAGCAAAAAGAGTGCGAACATCAAAAAATTTTATCTGCCCAAACTGAAAATAAATTTTTGTCATATCAATAAATAAACAAATAAATAAATAAGTAAATAAGTAAATAAACAAACAAATAAATAAATAATTTACGCATAAAATTCATCTACACGTAAAATTCCATTTTTGCATGAGTAAAAATTAGCAATAGAAATTTAACAACATTATCAATCACAATACCAGTATCACTTACTAAATATCAATTTCATTGCAAAATCAATCATATTTTTTCAGGTTATAGCAATAATTTATTTGAGATTACGATATTTTTTCTCGAGAAACAATTATCAGATAAAAAATTAAGTCGTTACAATAAATTTCAGTTCTCGATTATTAAGTTTTTGTATTGGACGAAAATTTTTCTTCATCACATGTCCTGGTCGATCATGTACACTTCGTAATAGTGCAAGCTGTAAATCAAATATTTTAATTTTTCTTTTGAGCAAAAAAAAATTTATTGGTGTTAAAATTAATTTTTTGAATTACATGAATTTAAGTCTAATCTAACTAGTTAGAAATGAATGCATTACCTTCTGTGCTTTTTATGCTTAATAACTAATAGCGCAGAAAATTTTATAAAAAGTAATGAATGAAACAAAAAGATATTCAAGTGCTATTTTCATGTTCTGAAACAATCTACTTTGACATTAAATGACTACATGATAATATAATTTGAATATTTATTTTTTTGAGAATAGCATCCGTAAACTGCACACTTGCTTGCTTTTGTATTTCTTTTGTATTTTCTTGCTTTTGAATTATCATTTTAAAAAAGAATAAAAACTAACTCAAAATTATCAAAATTTTGTATCAAAAAGTACCTGAAATTTTGTTATTGTAATGGGTTCAGTAAAGATTGTCCATGTTACCACCTCAGAACACGGTGGTGTGGTTAGTGATCCATCGTAACGCCAAAATGTTTTCGTGTTTTTTGGTAATTTATCTTTTAATAAAATGCCTTCTATTGTTTGACTTTGAGCTGAAAAAGAAAAAATTATTTTCTGTGTAAATAAACTAAAAATTATAACAAAATTTAACAAAAGATGTCAACTTTTTCTAAAAATGGAAACTTTTGACTTTTAAACATTTCAAAATATAAGTATAACTTTATAAACTGTTAAATAAATAAGCAAATATCTGCTAATAAATTCACTGACAGCAATAAAAGTGCGCATTTTGAAAAATATAATATTATTTTTTTCATTATCAAAAGGTTAGCCAATCAGCTAATCAAAACCTGGATCTGTTATTTTATGTAGTACAGTTGATTCAGGATACAATGCTTGATTCTCTTCACCAATTGTGAAAAAAACTCCAATAACAGCCAACTTACTACTATTTGTAATACCCTCATGCACAAGATGCAATTCTGCTGGATAATGCAACCCTGCCAAAGTATGTTCGGAACCTAAAATTACAATTTCACCACATTTTTTAACAAATATTGGACAAAAAAACTAGCAAAAATTGATTACTAAGTATTTATTTATTCAGTTTTATTATAAAATTGCTTTCAAAAAATAATTGTTGTAAAATATCTGAATTTAATATTCAAAATTTTTAATATTTAAACTAATCTTTTAGTATGCAATATGTTCAATTATCACCTTCATTATCGTGTAATCCCCAATGAAAATGATACTGCACCAAATGATAAGTTTGATCTAAGTCACCTCCAAGAATTTTTGGTACTTTATCTCCAAACTTTGGTAGTACTTGCACTGAAGATGTATAAGTAAGTACTTAATGATCAATCAAACAAAAAATAGCTGTCAGAAATTTTTTTTTTTAAATTTTTACTCTAACAAAATTTATGTTTAATGTAAAATTGTGTAATTTTTAGTTCACGAAAAAATGATACAACTTGTCATTGAAAAGGAAGTAAAAAAATTTAAAAATAGTGCACAATATCAGTTTAAATTTGATATTCTTTAGTTATTACAATAAAATAGTGTTAATAAGTGCGAACTTTTTAATTTTGTTACATTTTGCATAAATTTAATGCATCTTCTTGAAATGCATCAAGTGTAATAATTTAGTAAAGATTATTGCTAATAAAACTTGACCAGAGTGACCAGTATTGACAATTTCACCCTCTAATTTTATATTATAATTGATAAATTTTAATGGGTTTGCTGTTGTATATTTCATTAAGTTTAAATCCAAATTAATGGGTGATTGATTGAGACCATCAGCATTTGGCCAATTATTAGGGCCTAAAATTATTAAAAATATAATAACCAAACAAGATAATAAATTCAGAAAGAAATGAAGTATTATTACTGAGAATATTTTGAAATGTTAGGTAAAATTGAAAATAATAATAATTTTGAAGCGTATTTGATAGTAAGTAATCATTAAATGATGACAATAACAATGATAGTATGAAAAAAGCATGATGGATATGATAAATTAATAGCTTAAATATATGACATAAAAGCTTAAATATATGACAAGAAAGCCAATATTATTAAATAATTATGATTATTATAAATACCATTAAATAATAAACATATTTATAGTAACAACAAATAATAATAAAATATGTATGCAAGTTTTTACGCCAATTTTTTTTTTTGATTATTAATTCAGGAAAACAAAAATAGAGTATATTTTATAGTTTCTCTACGATTGTACTTTTAGTTTTTGGCATGTATTATTAGTGAAACAAATAATATAAATCATAAGGAGGAGAATTTTTAAGCAATCTTTTATTACTTTATATTTATTAAAAATTTTTTATCAAAAATAATTTAGTACTTCGAAAAATAAAGTTAAAAGCATAAAGAATGAAATTTTTTCAATTAAAAGATTACAAAAACTAACCATTCTCACTTTCTTCGCTATAATTCCAATGACCTAAAATGAAATTTTGTTTTTTAATGGAATAAAAATTAATTAAAAGCTTTGTTTTTCAATTAATAAAGCAGCTAATTTAGTAAGTACCTGATTATTATAGTAATAACAATAATAACTATTATTATTAATATTATTTCAAACATCATAAACTGTTATTTCATACAAACAAATTGTTGAAATTAATTCTAAGAAATATTAATTAATTTTAAAAACATCATTTTACCGTATCTTAAAAGAAAAATTCATTCTTTATTAGCATCTTAGTAGGACATCACCTGGAGACATATTCCTTAACGTCGCAGCAATTAACAATAGGCAGAATGAATCAAAAATCCCCCACTCTTTGGATAGACTGCTAAAAAAATATTAAAAAAATCTATAATTTATTTTTTTAGAAGTAAAAAAAATTAAATATTTAAATTTTTAACAATCATATTCAATACAAATATTATAAAAAGTGAAAAATTACACATAATACTGTCGTCAGTGGCATATTAGCGTAAGTAATCAAGACGTAACACAACGTGTAAAATTATATATAGGACAGAAATTTAAACTACAAAGTACTTTTTTAAATAAAAATATTAAAATGATGTCAAGCATTGCTGCACTCACTTCATCTCAGCGTGCAGCATCGAAGACGTTTCACAAAAATATTCTTGCATTTTTTCTCAAATAAAGAATAAAAATGTTTTTTTGAAAAAAAAAGATATGAAATAAAATATAACATTTAAAAATATTACCTTTGTCTACTCTTTTGAATTTTTGAAAAAAATTTGCAGAAAATCCATAGTAAAATAAAATATTTTTTATATTTGCTAATAATTTATTCATTAAAAATTTTTAAATGTTCAGAATATAAATGTAACTGTTTATCACACGGTAAAAAGTAATAAAATAAAAATTCCAAAAATAGTTTAAAAATGACTGTGAGGTTAATTTGAAATGTACATCTCAGAATACTAACAAATAACATTTAAATGAAAACGGATTAAATTTTGATACTTTTTTTTGAAAAAAAAAATTAGATAAAATTTAATTAAATAAATCTTATTTGCATAATTTGAACTACTATACGCATCAAATTCCAAATCAAGTCAAATCTGACTTACATCCTGACTGCTTGATGGATAAAGCTGACTTATATTTCTAAAAGTTTAAACAGCTCAAAAAGGAAGTTTTAGCATTAAATGTGACATAAGAAACTTCGAAGGAAAGGAAAATACAACTAAACGCCTGATTCTTCGCTCTTATCAGATTTATTCTTACTGAAATATAACAAAGAATTGTAAATGCTCGAATAATTTGCAGTTAGTTTACATAATGAAAGAAAGGCCTGCCCTTGCCTTGCCTGGCCTGCCCTAACCAAATGCGTCTTTTTTGAATAAATGCAATTTTGAATATTTGCTAAAATTAGCAAACAAATATTACAAATTGACAAATTTTATTTTTTCAAATTACCGCAATATTTTTTGGTATTTTTAGTGTCAAAAAAAATTTTTATTTTGCTATGTTTTTTACATTTTTACGCAATTTTTAACGCAAAATGAACAAGCATATATATTATAAAATGACAAATAAGTTTTAATTATCTTTATCTAATTAGGCTTTATTTACTATTATTCTTTGTTGCATAATTCAGAAATTAAATTTCAATCACTGGTTATAAAGTAATTAATCATATATATTATTAAGTAATCGTATATATTATAGACAAAATTTTTGTCACTTTTAGCTGTAAACATTTAAGATAAATTCTTAACAGTGACCTGAATATTACGTTTCATAATGCGGTAATAAACACATTTTAAACTATCTTTGCTCTATTCATTAATTTATTATTTATGTATATTTACTGCAAATTAAGTTGCATCTGTTATTATGTAAGAAATTAATTCTTCTTCAGGATTTATGCAAAAAAAAAGAGTAAACTAAAAAGAATACGTGAGACTATTTACGTGAGACGAATTCAGGCAATTTTTCAGTAATATCTATTTTTGAATATAGATTCATAACGATCTTACAAGTTAGTTTTGACTGTTGAAAAAAGCAAATAGCGTGAAATGCACAAATTTGATAAGTCCGAAATTATAAGCTCACCAAAGTAAAAAATTTGGACTAAGTAACTGAGTTTCCGAATAAAGGCGTTTCAGAAGAACTAAACAAACACTAATTGCCATCATTCCAGTATTTCCAAGTTAAAAATAAAAATATAGCACTCGTTACGAGTTATTTACTTATTGACTGAAGAATGGATTGTTATACTATTTCATGTGCAGTGAATGTAATTAAGAAAGGCTCTAATTTTCCATTCAAAAAAGTATCCAAGCATGATAAATAATTAGAAGTTATTCAACAGTATCACTGGTATGAATTGATAATTTTTAACGGAAAATTCCTTCAGCTATGTAAAATGTTAAACTTTCAATTTTGCAGCATTATTTCACTTTTACCACTTAGCAATCAATAGCAACTTCAACGAGCGCAATAATACCAACAATTTCTTTACTTAACAAAGTTTCATATTATTGCTATCGTCAAGGTAATAGACACGTAGTTCTTATTGTTGATAAAAACTTTTCAATCTATTTCAAACGTGTTACAAAGTTTGGTTTTCGAGCAACAGTGAAATGATAAAATAGCTTGTTTCTGCAAGACATGCTAACATAATGCAAACATAAGAGGACACGTTAAAGCACATAAAATAATGCAAACATAAAATTCACGTACAAATATGATACTAAGAAATACAAGAAAGATTTAATTGCAGGCCTGAAAATAGTGACGTTAGAACGTAGTGCAAGAAAATTCAATAAGTATAAATTTTATTGATAGCAAATAGATGTTAAGATAATACGTAAACAAATGTACTACCATTTTACAAGTGAATTAATAACACGCTTAAACAGGATCTCGCTTGTTTTATCATCACATTTTGACAATAATAACATATTTTGATAATTTCGTTCATTTCCAATTAACATTAAAATCTGATCGCCATAAACCATGCCAGAAAAATCCATTTCTATATTAAATTTACCAATTTTACTTATTTTAATAACGATATCTTTCATTTCTTTTAGGCTTCAATTTTTTTATCTTATCAATTGATTGATCAAACATCTATCTTAACAAGAGCTCCGTGAAACATATCTAAAAATAAGATACTCAATACTACCCCTAGCATTTACTGATCAAAACAGTTATCTTCTTCCCTCGGGTCGATCACATATCTCAAATTGCTAAAATTTGAATATTAATTTGCGAAAGTAATTGAGACAAATAAACTCAATGTTTCAGAAAAATAAAATAAAAGGACATCTGCACTAATAACTTCTTGTAATCTTGTATTTTGCCCAGTGGCTCTCCTTCATGTTAACTCTACTCAACTTGCATTATAAAAGAGATCATGTCAACAAAATCTACCCTATTTATTAATACTTACATAGCAATAATACTTTTTTTTCACTACATGTCATTCTTGTTTGCATTGCACTGTTCATCTGAAATAATTCATATTTAAAACACAAATAACCCCTATAGTATTAATGAATAATATCACAAACTCTTTATTTTATAAAGAATAATTTATAAAAAGAAATTTGACGAGTAAGTTTCTATCCTTAAAATCGATCTAAACTTACTTCTTGCAAGAAAGAAAACCAATTTTCAATTCAGAAGTGCAAAGGATAAAACCATTTACACTAAAATCATTTACTTAGTGAATTATCTTAAACGCGTTTCAAGTCTATCAGAAAAACTTGTTTATTGCAGCTGTTTGTCTACTCAATCTCCAAAATATCAAGATCATGTTTCTAATATACACATGATGTTTGAACTTCCAACTATACCACATCCCAAATACAAAATAGTAATAAAAGGACAAAAATAAATACTTAACGCTCTAAAGAGCATATATGCTACAATAAAATATAAATCAAAAAACATTGTTTCCGAACAACCACTATTTTTGAACTCAACTTTACTCACTTCTGTCACTGTAAGACTATGCAGTCATCAATTATTTACTAGCACAAATTGCAACTTTAAGCATGTTGGTAAAATTTAGAAAAATGCATCACTAAAAAATAAAAAGGAAAAGATAAATTCATCCATGAAATATGAAGCATAATAACGCATCACATAAAAACATCGTGACAGAAAAATTCAGGTACAAAAAGATTATAAAATCACCAGCACCAGTAACAGATACTAAACTCAAGCTGGTTCGTCTTCCGCACATTCAAACATGTCGTGTTTCCACATAGCATCTACTGGATTTTTATCGCCGCCATTATTATCATATGAACTATGGTTACTATCACCACGTATGAGATTATCGTTCTTCCGCACCTGAATGTAACAGATAATCACTTTTGAGGACAAACTAATATGACAAGAAAATGAGCATGATTACAAACACAAACACTATTATCATATTTAATGGTAAAATGTATATTTCATGTGAAGCAGAATAATTGCGCTGAGTATAAAAAGTTGAGGTTTAAGGAATAAATAAGAAGCACTACAATAAAGGCGTTATAAAAACGGAGGAAAGCTATGAATATAATACTTTTAGGAGACATGAAATTCAACTGGCTTCTGAAATCTGAGCAGAATAGATAAGAATTGAAATTTAAGTAAACAACTAGAAAAAATCAAAGCAAGAAAAAACTATAATAAAAATTCTGTACGTACGATGCAGCTTAGAGCAAACAATATCAATGAGAGAAACGTAAAGCTGAATAATGGAAGATATCATATTCTGCAGATTTTGATATTAAAAATCAGACAAAAATAATAGAAAGCCAAAACTAACTTTAACGAAATTCTTTAACTTAATGTTCATTTCAATGGCATCTAACCAATTAAATGCTAACAAAAAGGAGAAATTCTACATATATAAGGAATAAAACTAGAAAGTTGCATTTATTTCAAATACCTTCCGTACATTTCGCCAACCAACAGGCAATGATTGCCAGCCCTTGTCACCAGAACTTGAATTTCCAGATCTAGACACGCGACTTGGTTTCGCCATTCTATCGTCATGCTGTGAAAAATACAAAATATTTGTAAAATACATAACAGATAATTTAAATAATGACTAATTTCAGAAATACAAAGAGTTTTATGCCTCAGCATCAAATCTTTTGAGATACAACTTAAAACGTTTCATATATAGAAGGGAATGTTTTCTGAAATTAGTCATTATTTAAAATGAATGCAGTATGGATCAAATATTCATAGAAAAAAATAATTCTAACTAATTTGGTCACAAAATCAATAAGCAGCGTCTGATAAAAATAAAAGTGAAAAGTTTTTCAGAGAAAATCTCATATTTTTTACGTAAAATTTTTGAAAGTTGCTACCGTGAAATAAGAGCGTCCGGTGGGAACTTTGCATGGATCAAACAAATTCATAACTGGTTTCTCTTGCTCATTTATTTTTTTTGATTCCTCATTTTTATATGACTGCCAGCTAGTACGACCTAAAAAATTAGCAATCTCTTATACCAAATAAGAGGTTTTTAAATCGAAAAAAAAAACAGATTAAGTACAATACTGATTCATAAAAACCTGAAAAAACTTTCAATGGAAAAAGAAACAAACCGTAAAGCGTGCGCTGACCTGCCGAGTCGCCTCCTCCAATGCCCCGTCGCTGCGGATACATCGGAGTGCGACGATAGTCCATTCTGTAAATAATTTTGTTCTCATTAGAAAACAATATCCGGAACATATATGTATGAGAGCCACATATTTCCCATACAGTTGCTTCACAGAAACACTAATGAAAATCAAAAATATGTTGCCAATATGACTTGAAACGTGACAGCATATTAATCTAATCAAGTACGTGAGAGCATACAAATCCAAATATCACCTGTACCAATCGCACACTCACCCTTGACTCCCTCCAAATGCACTGAAATAAAAAACGATGTGTCTGAATTGACCATCACCATTGAAAAATTTTCTCTGCGTCATTTTGGGTTTTTAAAGTAAAAATAAAGTATTGGATTAGATTAACCTGTTTTTCATAACCCAGAATCCACGTTTATCTGTCATGCCAATACGCTGGCGATTATGAGCCCTTTCAGTACGACTCTAAAATTAAAAATCTGAATTAAAGCAGAGAATGAAAATGAAATGCACAAACCGACAGAGGAAAATCAGTTTTACAGTATCAAGCTCCACTCATTTTCCTTAAAAGCAATTAAAAAATCAGCCACAAGTTCAATCCAATATAAATACATAAATTTTAACGAATAGTGAAAAATCACATTCAAATGCAGTTACTTAAAGCAGTCGACTAATTGCTAGATGAAACAATTATATAATTCATAAGTTTAAAGTTTGCTTATCTAGACAATTTTACAGACATCTCTCAAAGTATTCATTTTAAAGTACTTTATAAGTGACAGATTTTGAAAATCGATAGCAATTTCAAAAACTAAGATCCTTTTTCCAACACTTTTTAACACTTAAAAGTCATAGGCACACTTACAATGACTGTAAATAAAGCTGGTGAAATGAGCATCGGACCAATAACTTACTTGAATGCCATCTTTAGCTCGACTTCCTGAAACAACTGGCAATATGACAAGTGACAATACAAATTGACTTCTAAAAAATAATATTACTGCACAACTTTATATATTTTAGTCATACAAAACTTAAAAATAAGTTCCGTAGTCCCTTAAATTCTAAAATTCTCTTAAGATTTTTTTTCTAAAAAGCAAACTGGATGCTTGTGATTTATTCAAAACACTAGCATCGCATATAGCATCTGGTCTCATTGAAGAGGTGAAGGAAATACGTTTACGTGCATTAATAAGATGCGTTTATATAACGCTCATTTATAAATAAGTCTATAAAAATATACCTAAATTTGCAATTAAAATCATTACAATGCAAAATTTTATTGTAATTCATAAGCTACTTATAAATTCACTTTATTTATAAAGAAACCTGTTCTGGATTGTTGTTCCTTCTCACTCAATGATACTATATCCAATTCGTTGACAGGTAAAGGCTTAGCTTTCCGGACCGGTGATAACCGATGGAGTGCCCTCGCAGAAGACGCAGGCTTTCCTGAGCGGTCTGAGAAGGGCCGCGGACTCTTTGTGCGTCGACTAGTGTGTTTCCGATATGAACGTTCTTTCCGCCTGCTAGAGCTAAACCGCCCCGACTTTTTATCTCCACTCATCCCTGACGACCTCACTTTCGCCGCCATATCTCAATAAGTCAAAAACTGCAGAAATAATCATACTTGCAAGATATTTAACGCAGGCCATTCCTGTCTTTAAGGACGCGAATTGCAATATTTGCATCCTAGCCAGAGTTGCGATCATTTCTTACAGACAATCACCGTTAATATATATGTTTCAGTCATAGATCGATGTTTCTGACAACTTGGCTATTTGATTACTCAAAACTGAAATTAAGCTATTACCGCTGAATAATCAGTTTTAAAATTATTCATCCAATAATCAAAAATTATTGGATATTTCATCATTAAACTACGAATAAATTGAAATATTAAATAAAAATTATTGTTCTAATAATTATTAAAATAACTCATGCAAGGTATCAGATTAATGATTTGAACAAACTGAGCAATGATATACTTTCATATCTGCAAAGGCTGTAAAATTTTTGATATAATTTTAGTGCAGTTTGAAAATGAATTGTTCCAATTTTGAATAAGATTTTAAAACGTTTTCAAATTTGAAAAATTTTTACCGCGCATAAATTTCATTTTATTATTTTATGCACTCAAGATCATATTTTGTGTGCTATTTTGGATAAATCTCTTAATGAAATAAGTTTGTTTCAAGTTGCAATTAGAAGATATTCAATTAATTTTAAATAAAATTGTAACAAATTTATATCAGTTAAGATCACTTATTAAGCTTTGATAAAAATTTTTTCAAATAATTTGTTCGTCAAATAATCTTACGTAAATGCCATACGTAAGATTATTTGACGAACAAATTATTTGAACGCTTTTTTATTATTAAATTGGAAACGTTTAAAATTTTGTGCACAAAATAGTTAACTTTCGTTAAAGTTTCAAATATTAATTAATGTAACGTCCAAAAAATTCAAACTATCTTTCACAGTAATAAACTGTAATTCATTTCTTACATCTACTTTTTCTTAATTTTGTATGGCATTTTTGTCAAGAAAGCGTTAATTTAGGAATTAATTCAAAACTCTAATAATTTTTTATTTAAACAATTTTTTTACCTTAAGATATTTCCAGTACTGCTTGTTTTAAAAAAATATTCTATCCTCAGTTATTATATTTTACTTACAGTTTGGGCACTTTTTAAATAACTAATTAAAATAAAAACTCCTCAGTACTAGGGGCATAATTTGAACTAGCTTAAGCACATTTCTTCACTATATGAAATCCTTTTTATCCAGAGCAATCATATAAATATTATTTTCTAAATGTTCTTTAATTATATTTTAGTATAATTTTCAATTGTTTTAGACTCAAAATTATTATTGCGTTTGCTGATTCTTTTTTAATTCTACAATGATTACTGAAGGTATGGCAAAACTATATTTGGGCATAAGTATAAATAGAACAATTAAAAGCATCTCTTATGCTTTCATCTCAAAACAAAACACCATTAATTACAATGATCTAAAATTGATTGCTACTTTAAGTAATCATTATTTTTTAAGTATAACTATTTACAAGAGACTACAGCTTTAGTCTAAATTATACATTATTAAAAATAATTCTGTCATATATTTTCTCCTTCGACTTTCACTAGTGCTGTGCAAAATTAATCTAATGGAAAATTTTTGACTACTTTTAAAGCATTTTATAAATATATATTTAGTTTATATATTGGTTAAAAAATAACTTTATACTCATTATTCCCACATAGTAATTAATTTAAAAAAATAGTTTTAAATCTATTTTGAATTAAAATAATAATTTTTTAAAACTAACTCAATAATTTCTTTTTTTTGGATTAAAGAAAATTATTTCTCTTCACCTTTTAATTATGTATTTTGCAAGAACCTTTTCTGCTTCAAAAATACAAAATTTAAAGTCGAAGATTAGAATATACATGAATGTTGATCAGTAGTAGAACGGGAAAACAAGGAAGAAAAATCCATAGAATTCCCGAAAGATAAGGAAGGTGAAAGCAATTCTCGACTGACTACTGAATTATTTCTTAAAATGTAATGCTATTTCTGATTGCTCTGAATAAAATTTATTTTCTTAATTAAACATTCATATATTTACTTAAATTAATTACTTGAATTTCACATTTAAATTGAATTAATTATTAGCTTTAAAAAAGTACTAAAATTTTATTTTCAAGCATATTTAAACAAATAACAAAGCAACAAAAGTACGTTATAAATTTATTATAAATAAGGAAATTACTTCACTAACTAATAAATTCAATGAAAAAGCAAATTATCGATGACTTTGTGAAAAAACATTCAAAGTATTCTTGTTATCAAGTATTTAAGTACAAGTAAGTACAGAACAGTACCACTCGCATGTGGATATTTGTTGTTGGTTAGCAAATATGTCCATCCAATAGAGTATTAATATTTCAGACTTTTTTTCTTCAAATAAAAAATGTATTATTAACTCATAAAACTACTAAGCTTACTTAACTATACTTCCTTAACTTTTATTTCATTTTTGAGTTAACAGTTTATAATTAGTTACAAATTTTAATTACAAATGTGTAATTAAAGGTTGCACAACTTTGAAATTTCATTTTTTTTTTACAAATCTAAAACCATAAACATTTTAAGGAAGTTTATTTTTTGCTGAAAATTTTATATGTTGCTAAAATATATTTAAAAAATTTCGAGTTAAATGTTATTTTGTGGAAAAAAAATTGGTAAATCAAGCTCATTAATTATGGTATTTTTAAATTTGTGCTAAAATTGAAGTCAATTTATCTATCACAAAAAATAACCACCGAAACTTTAATATTAAATTAAGAATAAAAAAGGTTAGAGCGCAATTTTTTACGGAATTATTTTACTTGAATAAAATTTATTCAATTTAACATTTAGATTAGTGTGAAACATTGGGCATTTTAACAACTTTCCTATTTTTTTGCTTAGATTTTATTGCTTGAGAAAACGAAAAGATATATTATTCAGATGCTGGTATTTAATCCCAAGTCAAATGGAATGGAATCACAAAAAATAGAATTCTTGTGATTCTATTCGACTGGACTTTTCTGTATCCATCTGTTATTTTGCTATTCTTTGTCATATTTATCACAACTTATTGATAAACAAATTTTATTAAACATAATTTAAGCATTTTTTAAATATATATTTTTATATAAAATTGCATTGTAAAAAATTATTATTTATTTTCAGGAATGGAATATTGTAAATAAATGTAAATTATTTTTCAAAGTTTTCAATTTATTAAAATATGTTAATGTTTTATTTTGCACGAAGATTAAAAATATTTATTCAATGTGTTAGTTATCGTTAATTTTTACTTTTCTGTATTATTCTCATTTTTTCAACTAAATATTAAGGAATTGTGATCTTAAAATTTTTTTGCATGTAAAATATGAATAATAATAAGTAGTAGTAATAATAAAAATAATAATAATAAAAAGTAATAGTGCATTTTTTTTGCAAATTATTATTAAAACAGATGGAATAAACACTATTTTTCGTACTTTTAACCCTTATTATTTTCAAATTATTAATAGTAAAGGCAGTATTCATTAATTTAAATAATTTCATCAAACAAAAAACAAATTTTTAATATTTAATAAGTGCAGTATTTTAAGCAGACTTAAAGCTATTGTAGTTTTTGTACTGCTCTTCTTTAATTTGAAATAATTTACAGTCACAAGAATCAATTTTAATAATTCGAATATTATAAATATAATGAAAAATTATAGCAAATTTTCAAACATTTTCAACTAAGATGTAATGATTGCAGGAACTAAAACTTGGATTACTATTTAATAATTTGAATTTAGTAAACAAATTGCAAACTTAAAATATTCATTTCAAAAAATAATTTATGTGTAAAATGAAAATATTTGTTTGCTTGAAATAAGTTCACTATTTTATAAATATTTTTAAAACAAAAAAGCATAAAAACTTTTATTTGTTATCAATTAAGTAGCCTAATATTTTGAATAGTTGAAAAGATTTTTGAATTAATATTATTTTATATAAATTAATAAATTAAAAATCACGTAGTTTTCCATGGTAATGAACTCTGATGTATCAAAAGATAAGAAATTTTTATAGTTTGCTTTTCGTTTATCATTAATTAATTTGAAGCATTAAAACGATAAAACCGTATAACTGCTTTTTTAAATTAAAACAGCTTGCATTTTTATATATGTAAACAAATAATAATTTTCAAGGATTTCCGATATTCTTTACATATAAAAGCAATTAAACACTCACTCCCCAAGATTTCTCATAATTTATTCACAATATATTTATATTTACTTATTGATCAACCAAATTTTCAGGCTTGTAAGTGCTTTCAAACGTGTAAACATGAATTTAACGTATTTGCTACTATTTATATTTGGTGAGAGATTTTTATTTATTTTGTTTTTGACGTAAATTATTGAACATTTTAAGTGAGCATAACTGAAAATAATGATGAGATGTTTTTGAAATATTTAATCTAAAAATATTGCTTGTTTTAAAAAATACTAATAATTAAGGTTTTTTGTTTTATTTTGCTAAATTCATGTAAATTTAGTTCTAATTAATAATTTCATGTTATAATTATTATGTCTTTTAATAATTTGAACTTTCATAAATTAAAAATTTTTTAAATTGGATAGCTATAAATATTTTGCGTGAAAATATTTTTCAGGGTATTTACTAACATCAGCATCATCACAGCATGTAAATGAATTAAACCAATTTGAATTACCATCTGAAAGATTTAAGCGATGGACAAGATTAGAGCCAAGCGTACGCTTTTTCGATAAACGTTGGACAAGATTAGAGCCAAGCGTGCGTTTCTTTCATAAACGATGGACAAGATTAGAGCCAAGCGTACGCTTTTTCGATAAGCGATGATGAAAGCAGCTAGTACGAATATTAATTACTTTTATCATTTACGCTTAAATGTGATATCAACTATTAATAATGACTGTGATGTTTTTAGATTTTTTCTTAAAAATCTTGCGTGTTAGTTTGAAAAAAAAATTTTCTAAAAGTTTGTGTGTTACCTTATGAAAAATCTTCATTATTCTGCATTTATATAGTGATACAACGCAATCATAGATCAAGCTTGGACATATGAAACAAAGCTGCTGAATGAATTCATTTTTGGAAGTAAGCAATAATCAGTGCATTTGGATTTATTCTGAATGTTGTTTTAATGTATTTTAAATAAAACAACTTTTTAATTGATCATCTTTTCATGAACTTCAATTATCCTATTTATTAGTTCAAAATTATTAAATTAATTTTGGTACTATTGAACTCTTAACAAAAATACAAGTTAGCAGTTATAATTACAAAAATAACGAAAGACATGTTCAAACAAAATAACATAGCAAAAAGTATCAGCGTAGATAACGCATGAGTATATTATTATGCATCATTTGTTATTTAATAAATTAATGTAATATTATAAACTATTGTAATAAATTTGGTTGATAATTTTTAAAAAAATTTTTGGAATTTTTCTCTTTAAAAATGTTATACAAACTTTTTTGCATTTCTAATTCATGCTTGTTTTCAGAATCAATTCATTCCTTAATACTGCACTTTTCTTGCACAAAATTAAAATGCTTTACTTAAAAATTTAAATCTGAAATGCTATAAATAAAACAAATAACAATTTTTGTTGACGCTAAAAATCATTTAAAAATCATTCTATAACTTTATGAAAAAAAAAAGTTTTTAAAATTGTTTTCAGTATTTTTATTCTCCCTGAAATAGTTACCATTAAAGTTTAATTTAACTCATATCATACTAAATACTTAATATATGTATTTGTATCTACACAAACATTAAATAAGTCAATAAATGTTTAAACAATTAATTATATAAGTTTTAAAAATTTATTATATAAACAACTATATAAAACGATTATTTGAATAAATTTAAGACCTTATTTTGAATGTTCTCAATATAAAATAACAAAAGTTATTGCTGTTATCAAATATACACAATTTTTATTCATTTATTTTGATACATATATAAATTGTGATAAATAATTATTAATATGTAATAGTCAAAGATTGGTGTTATCAGCTCCTTGAGCGATTTTTTTCACTGCAGTAGAAGAGATTTGTGTTTGAGACAAATATGAAAATCGTGCCTGATATTTGGGATGAGTATTAAGACTGAATGATTTTGCTGATTCCTTCATCATCCACTGATAACATTTGAATATCACATACAAAAACCCAATATTAACAGCAATAGCTGATAATAAACCAAATAAGGATAATGAAGCAAGCATTTTACCTGCTGAAATAAAAAGATTTCCTTGAATATTCAAAAATTATTTAACAAATTTATTTTTTAAGAGCAAAAATTTAAAATATTAAATAGCCAAAGTACAAAATTAAGTTTTCAAAAATTATCTGAAAATTCGTTTTATAACTGATATATAAATTTTGAATAATTAATCGAAAATTTAAATCACATATGGTTATATTTTTCATCAGTTTTCCCATAATTGGATTGAAATACATTAGAATAAAACATTTATATAAACTTGTTAAAAGTAAACATTCATAAGTTAGGATATAATCAAGTAATACTTTCAGTCTTACAATATTCAAATAACTGTACTTATTATTGCAAAAACTGTACTTATAATTAAATAACTGTATTCAAATAACTATACTTATCAATCAAATATATATACTGACTTATTATTATAATAAAATAACTATAATCATCATATAATAACATCATATACATTTGATATAATCAAATAACAGTACTTATTATTGTTTAAAGTAAATTGTGTAAGTTCATTTAAAAGATTAGTTTAAAACTATGAGACTAGTTTTTCAAACTGGTTTTGTTTGATGCTTCTCTTGTATTTCGGCTCTAACTGTACTCATTATTGTCCAAAGTAAATTATATTTACTTTTTATTTAATGTTCTTAAAATTCTGTAAGTGTTGCATTGCATTTTTATATTGAACCTTATGCATATTTGAATGTATTTATATATTTACCAAAAAAAACAAATTTAATGCACATTTGAAAAAAAAGTATTGTGTTCAAATGCTGGTTTAATTTTAATGCTTCTATACGATATAAATGAATAATATGTCGTAATTTGTTCTAGTTTAAATTAAATTAACCCTTTACTAAATATACTTTTTAATTATTCATTCATATGAGCACTGATGATGATAAATTTAATAATGCAAACACTTACAGCTTTGAACAGTATCACTTGGACTTGCTATATTGAAGATATCCGCAATAGATTTCCTTAATCTGCGTGAAAACTGATCACCTTTAATCAATTCGACTAATGTTAAAATAAACAATATAATTAATGCACTACACCACAGCAACTGAAAATCATACTCATTAATCTCTTAATTACAAAATTTATTCATGTATATCACAGTTAGACACCAATGTACTTTTAATAAAGTTTGCCTTCTTACTTTATATTACAAGTTTAAATTTTTTCGAGCTGATTTTGATATATTTGACAAAAAAAGTAAAAGTATTTTGTCAAAGAAAATGAAATCTTTTTACAAACATGCTTATCATAGAACTTATATGTTAAATTTAATCTGTCACACCAAAAGTTTCACGTGAATTTCTACGTCAAACTTGATTAAAATGTTGTAAATAAAGAATCCAGATATGAACGAACAGTAAAATAAACATAAGGTTTCAGGAAATTTGGTCTCATATAGTATACGCCATAAAAAAGTGATAATACTGATAGAATATCCACAAGAACAAGAAAAAAATCAACATAAGAAAAGTATGAAGTTGGATCTATTTTCCAATATGAAAGTATAGCATTAAGTAATGTTGACAGTAACGAACAAGTTCCTACCATTATAGTATAGTTCTGAAATTTGATTAAGTTTATAGTAATTAATTATTGAAAATAAAAGGTGCTTATTTTAAAGTAAAAATTAAACTAATTTAAAAATCCATAATTTTGTTTATTTCTTTGGAGATATTATAGTCAATATACCTTTTATTTTATACAGAAATAAATAATGCATATTGATAATTTAATCATATTCAAATATGAAAATGTTACAAAAACAAAAAAATCAAACTATCACTTTTATAATAATTGTATTATTAGCAGCTTGCTTCATTCTAAACTATTCAAAATTGGATATTTTAAATTAATTCTTTAAGTTTACTTATTTACAAAACATCATTTTAAACTTTTTATGTTTATGATTAATAGCAAATTAAAGTACTTATTGTGAGAGTAATAGTTTAGCAGTAATAATACTGAATATTTAATCACAATTTTTGCTAAATGAAATAAGATTTTTTGAAAAATTAAAATTAAATTTTTGTCAATTATTGATAACAAATCTTCTTTTGACAATTGAACCTTTATATGCGAAAAACGACAACAACGGTTACTGGTGTTCATTCAATTAAATCCGAACCTGTTGAGGTCAAATGTCAAGTAATCCCTGCAACTAAAAATACTGTTAAAAATGTGTGGTATGAATATTTGTTTTCTATAAACAAAACTAAGTACTGTTATTCAAGAGATGTGAAAAAAAAAAAGTTTAATTAAAAGTAAATTTGTACATTTTAACGCTTCAGTAAAACCATGAAAAATAATTTAAATTTGCTCAAAAAATTTTGTTTTATTGTATCAGAAATCAAAATTTTTTTGAAAAATGAATTTAGTGATATTTTAAAAATTTTAATTTGACTTCAAAGAAAATGTATACTTATAGATTATAAATTTTTTGCCATTAGAAAAGATTAGCACTAGTTTTTATGATAGATCCAAAAATCATTGATAAAACTCAATTAGCTCTATAAATTATTTCAAAAATATTAATTTATTGAAAATCGAAATATAATCAAAACTAATTTTTTCAGTATTTCCATTAATGCGTAAAACTTACTTAATATTTATTTTTATTTTTTACAACGAATTTGTTGTTTACTATCAATATGGGAGCAATAATTTTACAAGCTGCAAAATTTTTAAATTTTCAAAATTTGGATATTAAAAATGAAAAGTATAAGCTGTTCATCAATCACTGGAAATTATACTATTTGTGCTATTTATCAAATTATGACATCTCATAAGCTAATGAAAATTAAGTTTAAAGACTTTAACATTTGACATTTTCCTGCTTTTCTGCTAATTTTACCTTCAGTTATTCAGTTTCTAGCAAATTAATGTAAAGTTTGATTATAATAACTCTTATCCATCAAATTAGCAATCACTTAAATTATAATATTTATTCGTAGTTCAAAATTAATAATAATAATAATAATAACACTATCAATAACAACAAAATGTTTGACATCAAATATGAGTTTTTACTTTTATATAGGAAACTGCATTTCATTTTACATTATTGTGGTGATAAATTCAGGAATTCACTCATAACAAAATACAACTATTTTGCAGAAAAAGGAAAAATGTCAGAGATTTATTTGTTCTCTATTTTTTTTCTCATAATGAACTGAATCAAATACTAATAGTAATATCAAAAATAGCAGTATTAATTTTTACTTTTAAGTTTAATATTTAAAAGCGCACAAACTATTTACTTAATGTTCACTTGCTCAATTTTGAATTAAAAATAACTCTATAATAGTAGAGTTATTTTTTTAAATTATTTTTTTAAAGAATTGAAAAGGAAAAAATTCTTTGGTTTAGTATTAGTGAACAAACTTTATTGCAGTCGTATAACAATTAAAACTTCTAAACTTTAGAAAAAAAGAACTGAAATTTTAGCCTTTTTATCAATTTACGATAAAGATTGAAGCTAAAAACTCATACTTTCATTTCAGACTAAATTATAACCAAAAAAAATAAAATATGCAAAGGAAAGCTGATTGAAAAAGTAAAATACACAACAGATGTTTCTGTCAATTTTCTTTATTAAGTCAAATATTTTTAGAAATGCAGGTGATAGATTCTGTTAGTATTAAACTTTAAAGAATTATGAATGAATATTGCAGATAAAATATTTTGTTAGCAATACAAGAAGTGGAATAAATTTTTGATTCTTAAAGTTTACTTCTAATTTTTGACAAAAATTACATTTTAAAAGAGATTAAAAATGTATTAATTTATATTTTGCTCATTATTTCATTTATTGTAATCAAAAATTTTTTGAAAAATTCAAAGATGAAAATTTTTTTTAAAATAAAATATTAAGTAAAAATGCATTATTAATACAGGTCAAAGTTTATTCCTAACTCAATATTAATTTAAATATAAGATTTAGATTAAACTTTGAAGACGAATTAAATTTGATAAAAGTACTAAAAAATAATCATAATGATTTTTTGTTGTAGCAAAAATTCGAACAAATTCTTTAATGAGCCAAAAATGAGATGAACAGCAAAAAATAATAAAGAAAAAATAATAAATGGAAAAAATACAGAAATTTTTCAAAGATTTTTATTTATTATATTTTTTCTTCACAACAATTTTTTCATGCAGAAAAAAGTTGGAAATTCATAAAATTTGTAAAAAACAAAAATTTTTAATATAAATTTTTAAAAATATTTGGAAATTCATGAAAAATTAAAAAAATAATTGGAAATTTTATAAAATTTGTAAAAAAACAAAAATTTTTAATTAAAAAAAAAAGTTTTTGTATAGTGATACTTGTATCGGATAATTTTATCATGTAGAGATTTGATTAAAAAATTAGCAATGCAAATTAATTAATTTTTTAGATTTAAAATAAACTAACATTAAACAAAGAAATTATTTTAATTTTTTGATTATTATTATTTGATCGACAATATTTTTAATTGCATAATTAAGTTTAGACATAGAATCAAAAAATTTTTTACTTATATATTCTAAAAGTATAGAAAATCAATTTACGCTATTTTTACTGTTGCAATTTAAAAAAAATTACAACTTTAAAAAACAAAAAATTAGCAGAGCATTGGTCAGGTCAATTTTTCAGCAATATAATGCCAATACTTTAATATTTATGGGATTATTTTTGGCCTATTTTAATGTATAGTTTATTTGAAGAAAAGTCAGTAAACAATGAAAAGTAGTTATTTTAAGATGTTAATTAATTTTTTATGAGTAGCTTACATGAATATAATTTGAGTAATTATGTCATGTTGTGAAAATTACAGGCAAAAACTAAATATTTGTTTATTTGCAGTTTTTTTTTCTTCACTTTTTGGCATTCGTTGCATTAAAAAATGGTTGCTTAGTAAGATCATAAATAACCCTCGTTTTATGTAATATATTTCACGTTAATTCACGTATCACTATATATTATTG